CAAATACTGGAGCCCCTTGTGGTTTACAGAGCCAGCTGTTTTCTCGAGCTTCAGCTCTGTGATTAAGCTTAAGGAGGGGATGCAGAGTGATGAGAAACGCACAGGGTAATGCCGCCTTTGGAAGATTTAACAAGCATCCTGGGGATTTTTATGTTCTCTGCATTTTCATTCCTTTATAGTAAAACAAACATAAAAAAACGTTGCCAAAAAATCTACTCAAGGAAGTATAATTCAACATGTCAAAGGCAAATTATACTTGAATCCATTTAAAGAAAGTATTCTAACATTCACACTCGCACATTGTAAAACCAAACTTCATTGTAAAACCAAAGCACCTAAAGGCAAGTTTCTATAAAAATCCAGATATATGATAAATTCTCTGCAAGTCTGCATATCTCTATGCATGTGAGCATAGTTAAGAATACCTGTGTTTTGACATTTTGGCATAGTATCATCTTATATATTCTAGTATTTTCTTTGCTGGCACTTTCAAAGGTTAGCTTTCAGTTGGAAAGAGGGATGCCTTTGAATTTTTGTGTGGCACATGTCATTGATGGAGAAATTACTCTGAAAAAGTGCCATGCCATTGATACTTCTGTAGAGAAACAACAGTTCTATTCTGGTGTGAAGATTTTCTGAAGTCTGTCTGCAAATGTGTCCCTAGGAACATGAAAACTTGAGAAAGGAGAGGATCTGAATGATATTTTTGCTTTGTCCTGTACTTTTTATGAAAGAGAATTCTATATAAGAAGCATGGTAATAAAATGATGCAAAGATGGTGACAGTTTTGGGATCCCTCCTTCCCTCTTTCACAGGACCATTATCACCTCTGAGTTCCTGCTAGTTGCTCTTTTTACCTGGAAGTCTTTGATTCATTATTTATTTACACTAGCATGTAAATAAAATGTGAAATGCATAGTTCCCTCTGACATTTTTTTCTTAATCTAAGGTTTATCTGAGGGATTTTCTTCTTTTCTACATTAAAATAGCTAATATTTATGAACTTCAGGAGCCAGGATCCCATTATATGACTTTCCTAAACTCAAATAAAAGACTAAAGTGTTCAGCATAATCTCATCATGGCATAGAGATTCACATTTTAGTTCAATGATTCCCTAGAGATCAAGCTAAGCTATTGTAAAGCAAAGGTAATTAATGTAAGTAATCTTAAAAAAAAAAAAAAAAAAAAAAAAAACTACTTAAAAATTCAAGTAAGGTACGTTGTGAAAATTTTAAAAGTGGAGTAATTCCAAATATCCAATATTTATTTTTCTAATTCCTGCTGGTGGCAGGAAGTCATGAAACCCTAGCCAGTTTATTTTCAGGTAATTTTCTTTTAAATTCCTTTTATCTAGAAAAGAAGAAAACTGTAGGCATTATCAGAGAACTAGAGGAAACAAAGAGGAATCACTATAGAAAAAGCCTGCCATAAAATTGCATCATTGTTATTACTCCCTGTCCCACAAATGTTCAAATTTGTCTGGAAAATGAACAGGACAAATATCTGTGCACAGTCACTTTGTCAACGTAGGTAAGTTGATATCTCTGACGATTTATGACTTTTCCCTCATTACTTCTCCTCTCCCATCCCCTGGGCTGTCTACAGTCTCGCACAACTTAAGATAATCTAATTTCTACTAGAGCAGCTACCAAAAACAAATAAGTGGAGTGTATAGGTGTGTGTGAGAGGGACAGAAACAGAGTGAGAGATCAGAATTTGCTGCATGTTTTAAAAAGTTTCCTATATGTACTGGTGATAATTATCTATTAAATTATATAAGGATACTGAGAGCAAATAACTGATTTTTAAAGCATATAAAAAGTGTAATGGGGCTGGGACTGTAGCTCAGTGGTAGAGCACTTGCCTAGCATGTGTGAGGCGCTGGGCTCAATCCTCAGCACCACATAAAAATAAATAAATGAAACAAAGGTATTGTGTCCATCTACAACTAAAAAACATTTTAAAAAGTATAATGAAGACAAAGCATAAGAAAATAATACCCATTTTAAATGGGTCCTAGTATAATATTAATTTTTTTCAAGTATTGGTAGATGCAGCCATAAAATTTTTCTACTTTTTTTCCTTTCAAAATGCAGCCAAGAAACAAATATCTCTCTTCGTTTTCTTTGCAAGAAAGAACCAGTCTGGATTATTTCCAGGCCATCCAGACAGCTATTTCTATTGGAAGGAGTGACCTCTGGAACAGACTAGAACATAGCAGGCTGACCAGACAGAGGGAGGAGTAGGCAACTGTGAAGGACCCCAGCATGTTCTTGTGAAATCTCATTTGAAGATGACAATGAAAAGTTAAGGAAAGATAAATGAACTTAAAGATATTTAAAGCCAATGAAAAATGTGTGCCCACATATGGAATTCAAGTGAAGTTACAGTGTGAATTTCTGACTCTCATTCTTTAATACACATGCTGAACAAATACAGCTCTCTACCCTTTTGAATGTAGGGAATGTTTCTTAATTATATAACATTCATCTCTGAAGCTCAATAATCATTCTTTTGTTTTCCTACTTCAACTGAGCCAGGCTTCCTTAGCCTGTGATTCTATGGTTGTTGTTAGATGCTTTTAGATAATTATCAAGAGTTTTATTTAGCAAATTATTGCTGTGGAGTGTTAACACAACAGTAAAGATTTAATTTACTTATAGAGGATAAAGTAGTTATCTTCTCCTAATATTTATCTAGAAGATATGTTATTCTTCTCTAAGACAGCACAAGAAACCTGAGTTCACATCATGAGCAGGAAGAATGATGAAGAATGATTTAAACTTTTCCTGAATGCTTATGGGTAAAAATGTTGTGGTTGGTACCAAAGAGGATACAAGGATGTCAAAGCAATCCTTCACTTCAAGATGGTGGAACAGAAAATTTCTAAAGAATATTTTATTAAAAATAAAAAGTTGGGTGTTTCCAAGATTATATTTAATAATTTTTGAAAAAAATATTAATAAGCTGATTAAGCCAAAGGTACCAAGAAAATGCTATGGGATTTCAGAATATTTAGTAGGAACAGTGTAAACAGGAGAATCAGATGATAACTTTTACATAATCAAGTCCAGTCAACTTTAATGAAAATAGCAGCACTTAAAAGTCATAAAGAATGTTCTAAATTATCTATAGAGTTGTCTGAAAATTGGAAGAGTTTATTTCAATGAGTTTTGAACAGTCATCTCAACAAATGCCAAATTGTGGCTAAGGTAATTAAATAAGGTAGATTTTTGCAAATTTTGTTACAGTCATGCTGGTAGTATTCATTAACACAAAACAAAATTTAGTGATACAGAAACAAGGATTTCAGCTATCAAGTTATCATGTAATGTCAGAGAAATGAGGAAAAAGATTTTAAACTCAATGCCTTCTTAAGTATGCTATCTTTTGTGTATTCTTTCACTCTGGCTTAAGAAATAGTGTTGCTGAAAATCTGTGAAGTCAAGTGGAAAATTAATCTAGAGAAAGGCAATGTATTTAAGTAATATCCTTATTTCATAAAAATTCATTAGAAAGCAAAGAAATACAAGATTTAATGATTTTAGGGATTGGTGTCTTTGCTGGAGTAAAGGGATCTCCACTATGGATGAATTCAAGAGAAAATTGATTTTGTGGAAGAAAATTTCATAAGCTTGTTACCTTGGACCTTATATAACAACATATGATCAGACCATGAGATAATTGTATAAGAATTAAGGTTTGGGTAAGGTTTTTGAGAAGGGCATTGGAGAGATTAGTTCTTAAAAAATTTGTCTGAAGTTATAAGGAGAAGATACTTACTGTATGAAACACATGAGTCTGTGGAGAACACGAGTCATGCCCATATCAACAATTTGCTAGCTGCTTATGGGGATCCAGTTTAGGTGGAGTCTGAGATTTAGTTGTCAAAAGTGAGTCCAAGATTCGATAAGTTATTTAACAGAGCCTGAAACCCAAAATCCTGAGTAAATATTGAATTTGGAACTATAGTTGGAAACACTGAAATAAAAAAAAAATATTAACAGCCAGTTTTTGTTTTCACGGTTATAGTAACATCAAAAATAATAAAATATATCAGTGGTTAGAAATGCAACATCATAAAATCTATCAGAAATTCTATTTGAAAACGAATTCCCATCAAATCACTAAATTAAAAAACTTCAAATCCAAAACCCAAGAAACAAGAAGAAAGGAAGAAAATTATTGCCATTATCCTGTCTTGATAAACCTCACACTGGATATCTGACACTATAGACACTAACATAGGAAAAGTACCTGAATTTAAACACAGTGAAATACAAATGTTCCCAGGGAAGGTTTTGTTTCACTGGTTTTCATTTAGTAGCTCTATAATTTTCTTTTTCCTTTATGACTATAAAATTACTGAAGGCTGGGAGCCTGTCAATTTAACATATCTATTAGCATATTTACTGCCTGTTTTCCTACCCACATAATACATGTTATTCACATTTATTGAGTAATAAAGGAATTTTATTGTATGAATTTGGGACTTATTCACTGTACAAAGGCAATGTACGTGAGACTTGTGTGGTTCTAAGATGATTAACACTATGTTTTGGATAGATTCAAAACTTCATAATTGCACAATTAGCCATAACAAAAATTATATTATCAAGTCCACATTTTGAGACTGTGAGCTAAGACACTCTTTGTCTTACTAGTTTAAAAAGTCCCCAACAATGGGAAGAAATTATTTACATAATATAGTTATTGCACCAGATGCTTCTAGTGAAAGGAACAAAATCGTGACCTTTCTCATCAGCAGGATCATGTCCATGTTTTCACAACTGAATGATATTTTCTCAAAAAAGCTAAAATGTGTGTGGGCTGTAGGAAATAAAGCTAAAAGTAAAGACTTTTTCTTTCTTTCCTTCCTTTTTTTCTTTCTTTCTCCCTCCCTTCCTGCTTCTCTTTCTTCAGCTTTAATAACCAAGGAAATTTATTGTACATAGCTGCAGATTATGTCTAGAGATTATTTAATGAGTAAATGATACAATTTAATTTATTTAAAAACTTTTATTCTCAGCAAAATCAAACATATCATTGAGTTTACATAGAAATACAATTTCCAATCATATATTCATAAAAACGCACTGGTGAAATCGATGTTCATAATTAATGACCAGTTATGCACTATTTAATCATGCCAGTAGCAGAATTGATTACCATTAAAAATTGGTAAAGTAACATCTTAAATGTGCAAATATCCTCTTAGTACTCTATTGTGTTACCACTGATAATAAATGGCCACTAATATATATATACCTATTACATAAAGCTTTTTAAAATACAATAAAAATACAAATTCTATCTGTTAAAAAAAGCCATTTATGTGGCTTCTAATCATCCTCATTATATAAATTCCAAAATACTATATGACAAACAAAATTATAAAGACTCTTCATTATGAAACATATACTACCTCTAATTAACATATGACTTAGCAGATAACAACACAAACAAGAAGGTTCATATATACCATAAAATATAATGGAAATACATACAATTTTGCATAAGCATATTTGATTTGTTTTACTAGTGAAAATGTACCTTAACAATTGAAGAAATTTCCATGAGTAAAAGAACCTATTTATATATTCATTTATTTTTGAGAGCTACCCTCAAACTAAGCCTATATTTTCATTAATTTATTTTTCTTATAATGTGATAAAGATAAGCCACATTAAAATTTTTACCATCAATTTTTGCCACATGGATATTGTTATTCTGTTATATGATGGGCAAAGATATAGAAAACAAATATTTTCAAATGTCAGGGTTCATCAGCACATCACAAATAAGGTTCTAGAGAATTTTATATTGCTCATGTTCAAGAGGAAGCTGAATAGAAACTTAATTTTCATGAAAAATGAGATTTTGATTCAACAAAACAAAGACAAATGGTATTGACTAAATATTTTGATAATTTATATAGATAGCTATCATAAATTTTAAAGTATCAAATGAATGGGGGATCAGAAAATAAACTTTGGTGAGGAAAAATATCTCTATCAAAGAAGAGAATATGACATGATGATAGTCCTTATTTAGTGACGAGAAATGCATTTGGCAAAGTAAGCATGGTTGCTAGGCATTGCACCTATGGTGAGCAAATATTCCAAATGTTTCACATGATGTTCAGCTGTCATAGGAATGTAACTTAACACATTAGAAATGAAATTTTAAGATTTCATAACTTTTTATTTTTTCCACATTTATGAAATAAATTTAACATTTTTTAATATAACTAATAACAATAATTAATATTATTAGCTTGTATTTACTAATATTTGAAATACATTTGATTGAATTGTTATTGGAATTTCTATCATTTTTTAACCAACTAAAAATTTGTGACCTGGTAGCATAGTAGGCAAAGTTCAAATTTTCCCAACAACGTGAACATTTTATACATAGAATGACATCTGTCAAATGAATGGCAACATGCTTTTTCCTTTGAAAATAGGGCATGTTTAGTTTGGCATTGGTATATTTCTTCAGAATTTTAAGTAGTTTCATTAAGGTATGGCTTTTTGAACATCAATAATAAATTAACAGCCTGGAGAATGAACACAAATTTCAAGGTGCTAATTATTTAGAACTTAGACAAAGCAGATATTTGCATAATCTCTTTCAATTATAAATTCAACTACAACAGAAACAAATGAATTTTAAAGTATGCTATACATAATACTAAGTTGTTTTAAAATAAAATTACAGATCAACAGTGTGAAGAAATTTTATCGTGATGACTTTCAAAATATTAAGATATTAAAATATATTTTGGCACATGTATAATACCTTTCAAAGTAATAATGAATGATATATGTGTATACAAAAAATTAACAGGGATGGACTCTTGTTCTTGACATCAGCACCTACTGTCTACTGGGTCGAGACAAAATACAGTGCCTTCAAGAGTTAGTCCCATTTTGAACCCCTCCTGTAAGACAGAATAAAATCATTAAAATAGAAAATGCCCAAGACAAAGTAAAATAAAATCAGTAAGTAGAAGAGAAGATGAACAAAAGTTGAAATCTTTGTACTTCAATCAACTAAAAAATAATCATATGCAAAATTCTGGCTTGTCGAATTTTTATACAGATGTACATCACTGGCAGTTCTTTTATACTTATTAAAATTTTAATGATTTAAATATATGTGAGGTTATCATGCATGAGAAACAGAAGAAAGTAACAATATAGGAAATTAAGTACTTTTAAGACTTAAATGCTTCTTTTTCAGTAGAACCTATTTAATATTCAATTCTACTGTGGCTTAATCTGTTGAATTTAAAGATAATTATTAATTTAAATATTATCAAGAGAGCTACACCTCATGGTGAGGAGAAGTTCAAGATAGCCTGGTAATCTTCATCATTTTTTCCCTGGTTAACTCTGTCAGAGCCTGGGTAATATACAATTTGTAAATGTAGTGCTGTTTCTGGGTGCAGCAGAGCCCTGTAGACCACTGTGCCTTAGAGAAACTTTCCCAAGTCCTGCTATTGTTCTGCCTTCTTGAACTCCTGTTTCCACCAGCATGTTTTAGAAGTTAAGTTGCTGCTGATTTATTGACCTTAAGTGCGTCACTGCCATGAAAATTTTGTGCTTTTTATTTCCCCTAACATTTTTTATTATAACTTTGTGGCAAAAAAAAAAAATATGTGCTTCTCCACCACAAGCTCTTTTATTTTGCATAAGACAATTGAACTGTGGGCCACTGCTAGGTTTACCCTCTCCCTACATCTTCTTACTGGCCCCTAGTCTATGCACTATGAAAAGTGTAGACTCCCAACAATCAGTGGAACTAAAGGTCACATTGGAGGTTTCCTTGTGGAACCAATTAGACTACGTATTTAAAAGCATTTATCTTTCTAAATGCCAATGCAAGCATTTTCATATAGAGGAGACAGTATTTATAAACCTGCAAGACACCCTTTATTTGTAATTAATATTCTAACCATGCTCTTTACTATATGTATAGCATAAAGCAAGGCTATCACTGCATTTTCAAAACTTCTTTTCAGTATATGAAATACAAATTATATTAAATACAAATACAAATTAAATTCAGTAAAGGTCAGAGTACTGACCATGATTTTTTTTTTAAGATTTGTTAGTATTACAAAAAGAAATATTTTCCCATATTATGCATAGTTTATGCATAGTTTCTAGTGGCCACCAACTACTTTAAAAAGTGAATATTTTAAACTGAAAATATTGGAAATAAACTATACTTTCAAAACATTTTATGTGGATATCTGAAGGGCTATGTACTATCATCTTCTAGTATATAATGAATGATATGGGATAGGTACATAGGTAGAAGTGATAACTAGAGAGATAATTACCTTTGGAAAGGACTGATACCATATGGCATTTTAATTTTATCAGTTCATTCTGAAATTAAACTAGTATCACTTCATTTATCCTGAAAATATTAACTATCAATATGTCATCAGTATTAAAGGCAAAACAGCAAAGTTAAGTAGGTATCAAACATTATTTCAATACTTGTTTGTAGAGCAGAACAATATCTCCATGGTGATTTTTAAAGGATCCTTTCAAAGTTCCCTTAGGAAATCTACTCATCCTAATTAGCACATACATCTTATAAAGCTCCTTGGTTTTATTTCCTCCTAAAATGAAATTTCCTGCACATTTTTGACCTTCCTTCAGAAGTTTCATTTTGAGAATCATAATTTAATTAATTCTGCATCCCTCCAACATTTCCATATTGTCTTGAATCTTAAACTTCTGAATGAAAAATGAGTCCTTTTTTTAGGAATTTATGGGATTTATCATTAACTAGTATCACAAAAAGAATAATTTTATAGTTAACATTAATCATATAAATTATATAAAATATTTTGCTCAACTGCATTGCTTATTGAAATAGAGAAAAGCATATCAAGGAAAAACGTGTCATATGTAACAACTGTTTAAATGCTGACATAAGTATTGAGTCTATATTTTTCCTATGTATAGTTTTTTAATGATTTTAATGGCAGCATAAATAACTTTTTCATTTATGTAATATATTATATATATCAGCTATAATTTTCTATTTTTCTGTTTTCTCTACCAGAACCAACTTCCTGTATTGCAGTTCAAATAAAACTAATTTATCCTGACTATACAATATAATTTTAAATTTTACAATTACTTATTAACTTCCAGTATTTTACAATCATGAATACAGATAGTATCATATTTTTGTGCATAGAGATTTAACAAATTTCTAATTATTTTCTCCTCAGAAAATAATAGACTATTTCAAAGATTTTAATACCAGATACAAATTAAAATATTATTAACAAATTACCATCCAAAGGGAAGCTGTGAATGACTTAAAGTGATTGTTGCAGCATTCTTTCACTTGTGCTAATTACTAGTAAGAAAATGAAGTAGTTAATTTGCTAGATCAAAATGGCATTGAAATTCTTTAAATTTGTATGTTTCCTTTTATTAGTCAATACCTGTATGTATGTTAGCTGCATGTGGTCTTCTTTTTTGATCTTCTGTTTTTTATTTTTCTGTTGATTGTTTAGTTTCCTAATTTTTGTCTATTTCTGTGTGTGTGTGTGTGTGTGTGTAGTATTTATATATCCCAGTGGAACAGATTATAAAAAACTTTATAAAACTATATGTGGGGCTGGGGTTGTGGCTCAGCGGTAGAGCACTCGCCTAGCTCAGCGGTAGAGCACTCGCCTCGCATGTGTAAGACCCTGGGTTCGATCCTTAGCACCACATACAAAAATGAAAAAGTGAAATAAAGATGTTGTGTCCAACTACAACTAAAAAATAAATATAAAAAAAAACTACATGTGTATATTCTTCCTTATAAAAATCTATCTCCAGTTCAAAAGTCTGATGAATATTCACATATATTTCAAACATTTTTAACTGCCTAATGCTTTTGAAATTTACTTGGATATTATTGTAAGTTTTATTTACCTGGACATTAATATTCTCCTAAATTATTCACCATTGACTTGACACCATTTGTGCGTAATTCTTTCATCCTTCATGACTTACCCATCTTGTTTTTTAGCATATTAAATTATTATGGCTCACAAAGTATGTTTCTGGGCATCAATATTATCCCACTGATTAGTTTATAGGAGACATGTGCCACTCGGTTAAAATTATATCAGTTCAAATAACTATATTATAGATTTCAAATAAATATCTAATTTTCTAATTAGTTAAAATGAAATATAGCTTAGCATTTCTGCTTATAGTCTTAGATGCATGAGACATTCTGTGATTTGAAACAATTGAATTCTCTTAAGAATTACTAAGTCAAAATCCTCTGTAAATCAAAGAGGAAAACAATATTTCACTAGGCTTATTAACTCAATGCAGCATCCAGAAACTATTATACTATATTAGCCTTTTACATGATATGCATAGATAGAAATAGTAGCTAAATGTGCACAATAGTTAATTAGGAACAGCAAGGTTACTAACAAAATTCATCAGACTTAAGTAAATAAAACATTATTTTACTTTAATGTGATCTTACAAGTAAATTCTGCACTAGAAGAAACAATCAAAAAGATGAAAAGCACAAGAGTGACTAAATCATGGAAAAAATAACCTTAAATTGTGAATAGTAAAACTTTAACCACAACTAATGATCTGATACATTCATATGAAATTGCTGTTTGAACATTTATTAAATAAAGCATGCAATATTAAGCTTTTAGCTTTAAAAAGGTTGTAAGTTGCTGAAAATAATATACCAACCATCGCTGGCGCTACCCACCATGAAAGCAGATGAGAATAAAAAAAGAGATTAAGAAAATATTAAAAACAGCAAAAACAAAATCAAAAGCACCACAGTTTAAAGTTCTTTGACCAACACATCATTCAATCATTCTGATAGTGTTTCTCAAACTTGAATGACATAAAAATCGTGAGATGGAGGCTCGTTTTTTAAAATCTATAGAATTTTTAAATTTTGTGATAAAAATCCTTCCTAGCCAAGTAGTTTTTATGACCTGCATCACTCTAACAAGTACTGCCCTATCAGTGCCCATGTTTGTGTTGCTCCTACAAACTCATTAGTCCCTGGTTGTATAAACCTAATTGGTTAAATGATGAAAATAAAAGGAGTTGATTTTACATGAAATACATCATCATCAATAATTAATCATGCAGGTTTTGAGTAAATTTTTCATAGTATTTGAAATACATAAAAAGGTAGGGAATTTGCATAATCAGAAAGGATGCTTATTGAAAAAAGCAGAAATTTAATACAGTCATTTTAATTTTAGCCATATAATATCACCCACTCTGTAACATTAAAGTTCTTAATTTGCATTTTGTTGGTGATTCAATGTCATTTTTATTTAATTATTTTTTGCATTCATAATTATGTAATAAATGTAAGGGTAAGTTGTTTATAACTTTTTTGTCAATATTTGGGAAATAAAAATTTAAGTAGGTTGTACAGATCGAAAAAAATTTTTTCATAGAAAAAAGAACTACAAATCATCCAACTTGAAAAATATTGTTTTAACATCTACTTTGAAAACACAAGATAAATACGTTTTCAAAACTCAACTTTTAAAATGTACACAGGATTAAATCTACAAAAATAAGGAGTTCACATAATACTTGGAAAATAGGACAGTTCAAAATGAGTGGAAGGGTATTTGTATTATTTTTCCAGGAAGAGGAACATGTTTACTAATGTTAGATCACAGTTCACCCACTAAGTTTTGGGGGGTGTATGTGTGGGAAGGAGTGAAGCATGGAGAATGATGGAGTAACTCAGGACTAATTAATGGAAACACCCACTTCATATTGCCTTAATGTCTTCACCATCTCTTCTCAAGAACCTTCATTTTATTGGTGTCTATCTGGATTTTACCATATAGAAACTTTTTCATAAATAATAGGGCCTAATACCTTCATCAAAATGTAAGGGAAAATATAAAGAGAAGACTTTAGTCTTTTCAAGCCTGCTTATTAATCATGGAGCATTGTATAAAGCTTTTAAACCCAATTTGCTCAATGTTTCAGAACAGTTTAGAATTCAAAAGTGAAAAAGGAGACAGAAATGAAAACCCAACTCACTACATTCCTAAAGAAGCTGTCACTGGGTGTCTGCTTTTTCAATAATAGCCCAGAAGTTATGAACCACAGCTACAATGCTTCCTTTCAGACAGAATGACTTTACTCTTACAAAGATTTTCCCACATCTACCCATTTACAATTTTGAAATTGTTAAGACTGAGAAATCTTATAAATCTATTGCAATGGCCTTTTAATTTCTGGATTTCAAACAACAATCCATTAGAATCCATGCCATATTGTTAAAAAAAAGGAACCATCGTATTTCCATGGTAAATTGAACCATAAAAATAAAAATCAACAACTTAATCCTTATCAGTCGTATTTTTAGAACTAGATGTAATTTTTAATGTAGTTACTTTTAAGTAATTTTTATATTGACAATAATTAAAGAGTAGTTTTGATATATAACATTTTCTTTGTCCCAAATTTAAAAGAGATAAGCCATTTATAGTTCAATGTGTTAAGATGGTTACCTGCATCTCATCTAATTTTGATTGAATATCTGGAGGGAAATCCCCTGCTCCACAGTTAAATGGGTCAAAAGGTTCAGCTCCGAACAGATCCCGTTCTAAAAGGAAGAAAGTATTTTAGTAAAGGAAATGACTAGAAACAAATTGGGGCAAATCTGATTTCAAAGGCAGGATTATATAAATAAATACAATATTTATATGATCAAATAAGCCTCTATACACTTACATTTTATGTTGATCTTTCTGGAGTTTAGACTAAAGAAGTAAAAATCCATTTTATGAGATTAAAAACTGTTTGATTATAAAGAATTATAATCCAGAGATGTTTCTGTGTCTTTAATGTAGAAATATAAACCTCAACAAATATTTGATAATTAATATAACATTTGAATGTTTGCAACATGTAAAATGTACTAAAATTGACATAATTTTCATCAAGACTTTCCTAGTTCCATTTATTGTTATGTCACAAAAAATTAGAAAGTGATAAGACCGAAGAGATTAGTAAGAAGTTTTACATACTTTTATAACACTTTTTACTCAGAAAAAAACTCAAGGCATTTTATCTTATGTACTATGAAATCATATCATCTTCATAGATAGCCACAATGAGACAAATTTTGAACAAAAATCCTCCTATATCAGCAATAACCCCTGCTCTAACCCCTGAGCTATGAAACTTTTATCCTTATATTTATTTTTAAGAAAACAGCAGGAAAGCAGTATTTTAAAAAAGTTCTTTTTGTGTGTATTCTTGGGTATGTGCCACTTTGTGTCATTAAAGAAGTAATAAAGTTAAAATTATGTTTGTAACTTATAGAACACGTGTGACCTATTATATACTTTAAAAATTTGAAAAATATTAACATTTGATTCCTCTGAATCAATTCAAATGAAATCTGAATTGGAAAATATTAAATAATGTATAGGAAGAATATTGATACATATTCATACCATTGTTTTGCTGAAAACAAATTCCCAGTGGGGTTCAATGGTATATAAGAAGTAATATTTATGCTACTTCTTTTTATCATTTCCTCTAAAATCACTCAGGCACTCTCATCATGAAGGATCCTTGCTTTTCCCAGTTCCAAGTATTTTTCAGTTTCTTGAGTTATAAATAAGTTAATAATTGGTAAAATGTTTGGGAGTTTCTGGAACTGGTGAGTATTATATAAATAAGGGGGACATATAATTCATTATCCAAATAAGGCACTTCTAAAGTGAAAGGAGCATTCTCAACAATTACATTGGGACAAAACTCTAAAAACAGAAGTATTCTCAACAATGGGAATGTATTGTTACTTTCTATGTAACTGATGAATATACTATTACTGTTTTTACCTCCCTCCCTCGGTCTGATAGGGCTCAGGCAATAAATAAAAATTAGAGAACAGAGGAAATTTTGTTTGGAAGCATGTTCTGGTAACCATGATACTACAAGTACATGACCCAGTGTTTTTTACATTGTAGGTGTTTGTTTAAAAGAACAGATTAACCTAAATGACAGACTGCTGATCAGAGAGAATAGAGATTTTCATAAAATAGACTTTTCTCAAATTGGAACTACAGAATCACTAGAGATTTCAGGTGGGTTTTGGGGAGTATGTGGTATGACTGGACATGCTATTTTTTTCTGTCAGGAGGTTTCCCAACTTATTCTCATGAGCCCATGATTCTCTTCCAAGTTAAAGAACAAACCACCTTGCACATTAAGAGACTAATTCCATGTAAATTAATAAACATTACAGAACTCTCTGGTGTTTTTTTTTGTTTGTTTGTTCAGCTCACATGGGTATCAATTCAGAACAAAAATTATAAACAAAATTAAAATTAGTTGAGTCTGATCCAGGGGTAAAAGAATAAAAACTAAGAGGTGGTGCTTCAGTCAGTCATTCTTTGCTCTATTCAGAAAATTTATTGAACACATATATCATGCATTTTCCTAGATAATGGTTTAAAGTAGCAAAGAAAGGACATTATTCATTCATTCACCGAGTTTATAGACAATTAGGGAACATAAGTGAATCTGTGAGGAGGTCTAAATGTGTGAAAGGCAAGGATAAAGAAAGACATGCAGACACACTCATAAGATAAAAAACAAATTAAAAACACTCTATCATAACATCAGGGTGTTGGGGACATTTTCTAAAACACACTATGATATGTATGTCATGAATTATTTCCTCAATTTTGCATTGGCACAAAATATATCCAGAGCAATTAAACATATAAGTCAACTAATGTATTGCAATATATAGTTTAGTTTAAATTTATTTTAACTGATAATAAAAACATAAAACATTTTATTTATGGAATACTGTGTGTGTATGTGTGTGTGTGTGTGTGTGTGTGTGTGTGTATATATATATATATATATATATATATATATATATATCAGGCAATTTTTTAATTAGATGAAGCATATCTGTTAGAGCGTTATACATAGTAGTTGGGCTCATTTTAACATAATCATACATGCATGAAATTTTATGTACTCAATTTTAGTTCCTGTTCCCCAATCTTTCCCTCTCTTTCTCATTCTCCTTCCTCTACTGATCTTCCTTTCACTCTCTAATTTATTTACTTCTGACTGGTAATTTCTACATATACATAAAGGTGGAATTCACTGTAGTATATTTATGTTTGCAGAGAGTGTGATTTTGTTAATTTCATTCCACATTTCCTCTTCTTTCCTGCCCCTCTTTCATCCCTCTTGATCTCCTTCTGCTCCACTGATTTTCCCTATATCTTTATGATACCTGATCCCTTCACCATTTTTTTAAATTGTGCTCTAGCTTCTACATATGAGCAAAAACATTCAATCCTTCATTTTTTTTAATCTGATTTATTTCACTTAGCATAATGTTCTCCACTTACATCCAATTTTTGGCAAATGCCATAATTTCATTCTTTATGGTTGAGTAAAACTTATATATATATATATATATATATATATATATATATATATATATATATTGCATTTTCTTAATCCATCCATCTATTGATGGGTTGATTCTATAATTTGGCTATTGTGAATTGTGCTGTCATAAATATTGATGTGGCTGCATCATTGTAATAAACTAATTTTAGTTATATGGAATAAACTAAGGAATAAGAAAAGTTGGGTCATACAGTGATTCCATTCCTAGTAATTTGAAGAATCTCCACACTGCTTTCCAGAGTGATAGTACTAAATTGCATTCCCATCAACAATATGTCAGAGTCCCCCAGCCCCACATCCTCACCTGCATTTTTTATTTGTATTCTTGATAATTACCATTCTGACTGGGGTAAGATAAAATTTTAGTGTAGTTTTGATTTCCATATCCCAAATTAATTGCTAGAAATGTTGAAAATTTTTTTTCATATTGGTTGATCATTTGTATTTATTCTTTGAAATTTCTTCTTTTGTCCATTTATTGATTGTGTTATCTGTATTTATGTTGTAAGTTTTTTGAGTTCTTTAAGTATTTTGGACATTAATCCCATTCAGAGGAATAGCTGGCAAAGATTTTCTCCCATTCTATGGGCTGTGTCTTGATGCTCTTAATCATTTTCATTGTTGTGAAGAAGCTTTTAATTTGATGGTATCTTACCTATTGGTTCTTATTTTTATTTCTTGAACTTTAGGGGTCTTGTTAAGGAAGTTGGTGCCTAGTTGGTGCCTGCAGTAATATGATGGGTTGTTGACCCTACGTTTTCTACTGCTTTCAACATTTCTGATCTAATTCCTAAGTCTTTGATCCACTTTGACTTTTGTTCAGGGTGATAGATAGGGATCTAATTTCATTATTTTAGAAATGAATATCCAGTTTTCCCAGCATCATTTATTAAAAAGGCTATCTTTTCTCCAACAATTATTTTTGGGACCTTTGTCAAGTATCAGATGACTGCAATTATGAGATTCGCTTCTGTGTCTTCTATTCTATTCTGCTGATCTTCATGTCTATTTTGATGCTAATACCATGCTGTTTATATTAGTGCAGCTCTGCAATATAATTTGAGATCAGGCATTATTATGCCTCCTTCATAGCCCTTCTTGTTTAGAATTACTTTGGTTGTTCTGGGCCTCTAATTTTTCTAAATGAATTTTAGGCCTGACATTTCTAGTTTTGTGAAGAATGTCACTTCTATATTAATGGAGATTGCACTGAATCTGAATATTCCTTTTGGTAGTACAACAATTTTGACAATATTAATTTTGCTTGTCCAAGAACATGGGAGGTCTTTCCACCATCTAAGATCTTCTGCAACTTCTTTTTTCAGTGTTCTGTAATTTTCATTGTAGAGATCTTTCACCTCCTTAGTTATATGAATTTCCAAATATTTTATTCTTTTAGCTATTTAAAATATACAGCACATTTTCATTTTCTGAAGTCACTGTATTGTACAATAGCATACCTACTACTATTAAACTGTAACTGGGTCAATTGAGTAACCTCTCCCCATCCCTCCCTTCTCCCTATTCTCCCCAACTTCTAGTAACTACAGCTCTAATGCCAACTACTACATGATCAACTTTTTAATATTCTACATATGAGTGTGATCACATGCTACTTCTTTTTTCTGTGCCTTGCTTATTTCACTTAATATAATAATGTTCAGTTCCATCCAATCCACCTTTCCCCAAACATCAGTGTTTCATTCATTTTTAAGCTTGAAAAATATTCCATTGAATATATGTACCACATTTTTTTTTAATCTATTCATTGTTAATGGACACTTAAGTTCTTTCCATTTATTGGCTACTGTGAACTGTGCTACAAAAAACATAGATGTCCAGATGTGTCTTTGACAAACTGCTTTCATTTCCTTTGGATATACAACAAGTAGTGGGATTGTTGGATCACGTTACTATTTTTAATTTTTTGAGTTACATCCCTACTGTTTTCCATAGTGGATATACTAATTTACATAATGTGCAAGAGTTCCCTTTTATCCTTCTTCCAGTACTTGTTATCTTTTGTCTTTTTGATAATAGTCATTTTAACTGGAGTGAGATGATTTCTCTTGTGGTTTTGGTATGAATTTTCATGATGATTAGAAAGGTTTAATGTTTTTTTCATAAACTATTGGTCATTTGTATGTTTTCCTGTGAGAAATGTCTATGTAGATCTTCTGTCCATTTTTACATTTTTCCTTTAGCTATTAATTGGTTGAGTTCCTAACATATTCTAGATATTAACTCTTTGCCAGATGTAACTTGAAAATATTTTCTCCTATTCTGTAAGTTGTTTCTTTATTCTGTTGTTTCCAGTGCTATGCAGAAAATTTTGAGTTCAAAGTAGTTCCATTTGTCTATGTTTGCTTTTCTTTCCTATTCTTTTGGGGATTTCCCCCCAAATTCTTGCCCATTTCAAAGTCTATTTTGAGTTGATGTTTTGAAATATTTTCATAAGTTGATTTTAAATGTCCCTAATATTTTACTTAAGTCCTGTAAGTGAATTAAGTACACAACATGAGCAATGAATGATGTTGTGTTCCATAGGTGAAAAGAAATAAACTATAGGTCCTGCCATATATTAAAGCCTTCAACTAAACCTTGAAAGTTATATTCAAAATGTATTAGTGTTAATGAGAAAGAATTTAATAAAGCATAAGATCTCTTTTCTTCAGTTTCCCTTTGGGCTTAGTGACTGATTTATGGTCACTGGAAACTATTTTTTTATATTCTCTGACAGGGACAGATCAATATGCAGCTAAAATATCAAAAATGAACATTTGTTATATGCTTTTTAACTTAGCAAAAAGGTACTTTGGTGTTTCTTCCAGATACATTGAAAATAAAACATAAAAGCAATGTTTTTTAAGCATTTTTGAAACCCTGAGAGTGGGGAACAAAACTTACATATCATTAAGATATAAATTGATTCATAGAATTGATGTAATTTATATATTTTCCACCAAAAATACCTATATAGTCTATGATAACAGTAATATTTAAACTAGGATGTATTAATAAAGTTAAAAAATAGCTAAAATTATTACCTCCAGTTATTTTTTACAAAAATTACTGATAAAATCTCAAGTATAATAAACCTATAACTAAACAATTTTATTATGATGTAAGTAAACCTACACCAAAATATCATTGTTTGTTCAGTAGGTTCAAATTCCAAACAAGGATGTCTTTAGTAGTACTCTCTGAATTATAAAGTAAATTAGCTGCATTTGGCACATACAGAAAAACATAACACTTTAATAATTAGAGTTGTTAGTGAGCTTGGGAAGATATGCAATTCTCACAGTGTTAATTAAAATTCAAAATGTATCCAAATAGAGCAAGAAATATTTATTTATTTAGAAAGCTTACTAATCTCAGCAGATCTTGAAGGTACTGGGGGTGGTTGTGTGCCATTGTGAGTAGGTATGGAGGACTGGTGTGATACTGGAGAAAATGGAATCATATCAAAGATGTCAGTGGAGGGTGACTTCGGTGTTACACTGCCAGCCTGCAATGAAGATGATATGAATTAGGTTGGCATTTCATATAAGCACTTATCAAATAAGTATTTCAAATGTATAACAATACACACAAATAATACATATAAACAACAAATTTTGTTGAATCATATAACTTGACATTCTAAGATCATGCAATAAAATAAAACAAAATAAAATACACATTCTTCAATAAGCACCCTAATTAATTTGACAATAGGTCAGCAGTCAAGCAAAGATGGTATATTAAAATAGGCTAGTTCATCCTCTGATTATAAATAATTTTTAAAAATCAAAAAATTAACAATTTCATGTGGCTCAAACTGTGGTAAAATGCTCATTTGCAAGAAAGCAATGGAAAATGTCTGCAATATTTTCAAAGATGATGGCAAAAGGGTGACAATACTAGTTTATATGGATACCCAAGATGCTAGAATTTTGTATACCTAAAATTATTTCCACTTGTATCAGACAATTAGAAACATGTTAGAAATTATATGTATAACGAAGTGATTTCAGTAATATATTTTGTATAAGGTTATCAATTTTAAATAGAAATAATTGAATGTAAGTAACTCATCTTCCCAAGTATAAAGATTTATATGAAATGAACAATTTATACATTTTTAAAAACTAAAGTATATTTTAATTTGTATTGATAAGTACAATGACAATAAACTGTTATTTATTGTAGTTTATCTCATTTCTGAAAAATTTCATCTTGTTTTCTATAATAAATAGGTGACTTATAAAATAAATTAATAATCACCAAGATACCAATAATATTATTGAATTATCAGATAAATGTTTGTCAGGACTAAACAAATGCAGAGAAACAAAAATGAAAATGTAGCCAAGAAGTAACATGAATATGAAACAATTATCAATTTACCAACCAGTGGAAAAATATATATGTGTGTAACCTCCTATGAAAACTATCTCATCTGATCAGGAATGAAAGAAAAAGAATTTCCCTTCTGAAGAGGGATACAGGAAAAATGTGCTTTTCCTCTACACCATGAACAGGGATTGTTTCAAGTGGTTCTTATTGAAGTTAGAGATTTAAGACTACACTCATTTTTCTGATTCACTGATGTTGCATGAGATTTAAGAAATATACATGAGGCTGATTGTGTACACACAGAGTGAAAGGTTTCCGATTCTGTTAAAATGATTTTAAGTGCATTTCTTCAAGCAGCAAAATTGTGTCACCTTTTGTTAAATATTGAATTACTGTACCCCTTGCCCTTCCTTCTTATTCATGAATAATATACTTCCCATACCTCCCTGGCTTCCATATCTTCTTCCTTTCTTCTCAGGATGTAAAAATATTTAAATCTTGCCTGTCATTAAAAACAAAACAAACTGACCAAAAATGCCTTTACTCTTTATTCCTCCTGCCTGTTGTCTTTCTTTCTCCTCCCTTCAAGACTAAGCTTCTTGAAAGAGAGTAGTTTTCCTTTTCCAACCACTTATTTAATTTCAATCTAAACTTTGTTCTTTTTGCACTGAAATCTACTGAAGCTGCTTGTACCTGTATCACCAAGGACCTCATTTCCCAATTGCCGTGACTGGTGGGTCCTTCAGATACTTTATGTACTTGTCCTATTTCATCTTTTAGATTTCTACATTATAACCACCCTCTATTTGAAACTCTGATATCAGGGAACCAAAAGAAATGAACATGGCACACACAGAGACTCCTATTCCATCACATTAATTCAAGACCTACCTGACTTTTTTATTAGTATAAAAATGGCACATTTCTAGAAGTATAAAAAAATAGGGGGATAATAAAATAAATTTACTGCTTTGAAAATTTACATGTGGTCTTGAAATGCTGCGCTGACTGACTGGCCTGGGAAGGCCACTTTTAGAAGGCGGTGGTATTAACAGTCCCAGTGATAGTCTGGAATCAGGCGAGTTGACAGGAGGGACAGAAGTGGAAGACATGTTTAAACAGGGAGATGAAGCGTCACCACTAGGCCAGAAAGTGGATGAGCATCTCTGAAACCTGTGTGGCTCATGACCAGACGTTCTGTGCAGCAGCTGCGAAAGAACGACAGAGAGAAAAACACTAAGGAGAATAAAGAAGGCAAGGAGGAATGGGAAGGATACATGAAAACGAATGTGTAAAAAAGGGTATTTTGTGAAAATATGATTATTTCATAATAATGTTAAAAAATTAAAACATGTACTTCAAGTTGATTTCTCCTACTGTGAGGGTTCTCAAGATTCTCACTTGCTTAGCTTGATCGTTTTTCAGGGAAATATTTTGTGTTTAGATATTTAAAATAGAATATTGTTTTCATCAGGACCTGAGAGAAAGGGATTAGAGCAGGGAACGAGGAGAGCCCCAGTTTTATTTTGGAGAAGTCCTCGGGATAATGAGATGGAAAGAGAAACTATTACAATAAGAGAAGATTAGTCACTGAAGGAGGAATAACTCTCTTAAATAAGTTATAGCTTTGTAGAATCTACAAAAAATGGGTTACACTATGTGTTTTAGATTCAATATTCAAATCAGTCTTTTCCAATGTTACTAATGGCAAGAGTAACATGTTTTTATTATAATAGGAATTAAGACCCATAGATCTGTGACTTATTCTTCTATGACTAAGAAACATAGCCAAAATTCAGAACAGTATCCAGTCATGATAACCTTCCTTACAAAGTGAGGAGTTTCTAATGGCAAGGCACAATGAAGATGGGGAGAGACTCTAAAAGAATCTCAAATAAATCACAGAGAAAATTTAAAAAAAATAAGCAAATAATACCCTGAACTGGGTCTGAATATCAGACTTTGGAAGGCTCTGGGGGATATTTCCCTAACCACATAGAAACCTGCTCTCAAGAGCTGAGCTGGAGAGAACACTGACCTGCCAGATGCTACAGAAGTCAATTAAAACAAGCCAAAATGAAAGTAACAATTAAGCCTTTACTCTGACTGTGATCCCATTAGTGCAAAGCCAGAAAGAAGGTTCCTGTTTCATCAATGCTCCATTTTCCCCATGAAATGGCTGTGGGCAAAGTTCAGAAGCATCACTGCAGAAGTGGGACATTGCCTCATTGCTGAGGGAGCCTGAACAAGAAGTTCCTAAGGGTTTTGCGCTGTTGTTGGCCAATGGTCCTGAGAGAGCAAAAAGGGTAAAGCAAGGAGTAGAAAAGTACTAACAATTGACTCATAGAGGAGAACAAAAAGGCAGTTTGGGCAAAAGCACTCAAGGCAGTCTCAGCCAATGACCCTGTAAAGAGGCCTCTGAATAAATGATCAAAATGCAGAGATACATGAAAGCATGGCTGTCCAGTGGGGCGAGTGCTTGGCTAAACTCCTCTCTAGCTGTGCACTGATCCTGATGGAATGGGGAGAGCAGCTTCCCCAGAGGGCTTGCTTGGGACCTTTGACAATCCTAGGTGATCAAGGCTGAAAGATCACACACTGGGTGTGGGTCTGGACTTGGATTCCCCAGCTGCCAGTCACACTTCAAAGATTTTTCAACACCAAATAAGACTTAGAGGCAGCCAATTTTGATAAGCTTCATTGTGAAGAGTTACCAAACTAAAATTAGAATTAGAAGAGACCTTAGTGGATGACCTTAGCTGTTTCTCAATGAATGCTTCATCATCCCAACCCCATTCTCTAGTCTTCGTGTACATTCTTTGTGTTACCCCATGTCTTTTAATAAAGTCCTTTTCCTTTAAAAAAAAAAAAAGAAGGGAACAACAAGTTTGAGGGACATCCTCTACCTGGGAGTCACCTCTTTACACACTGTGGAAGCAGAGGGGGAAAGGAGACAGTGTAAAGTGAAATATTTACATTGAACGAAGGGTGCAGTGAGGAAGAAACATCTCTGATCATTTCAGTTATATATCACTCTATTAATATGTATATATAGCTCTAAAATTATTGACTTCCCTCTTGATCTCCATAGTGATATTTCTTCATCTGTTTAACTATATAAGGATAATTCAGGCTATAATTTAAAAAATTCATTTTGAGCATATATCTTTTAGTGAATGATTCTGTCATTAGTGGCCTCCATAATTTTCTGGTTACAATTAAAAGCTCCCTGTGCCAGCAATTTTGTTTTCCAAAATACTCTATAAAACATGTTGGAGTACTATATACATAAATGTATGTATTTTATGAATACATATTAAATTTCAATAAATATTTGCCTAAATTTACTATACTTTATGTAAAGCATAAGTTGTCCATATTTTTAGTAAAGTATAATAAAATAGTAAGTAGTAAATATCCTTAGTATCATCTGAATTAAAAATTAAATGGAAATATTCTATATTGGTTTATGAAATATAATGGCCAAAAGATATTCACTGGATGCTTCAAAACAGACTGAAGACCAACATAACCTAATACAAAAGCACTCTAGTATTTTTATCATGGTGTTAATACTATGGATTTGCATAGTAGTACTTTCTGTGGGAAGGTACATGTAAAAATGATGTTTGTATATAATATGAAAATAATCAAGTATTCAAATTCCCCAATTAAAGACAGTTTCACTTTTAAAATGGATACAGTTGGCATATCTGGTAATGTAATAATTTGGGTATTGTGAGTTTAAGATTAGCACTCTCTCACAGGTCTTCGTTGTGTCATTGGTAATTTGGCTTTTTTTTTTTCCTCCCTGTTTGGGTCATGTAGATCTTTTAAAATACTGAATTAGTTGTTTCCAGGTAAAATAAAGAGATTTCACATAAAATTCAGACTACTCCTTGAGATTTAGCAACATAAAATCGGCCCACGGACTTGGACAAGAATCACTGACTGACACTGACTATCTACTGAGTCTCTGAAGTGGGCCTGTGCTCTCGAATTTATTGCTACCTCTAAATGCCCATATCACACTCTTCTGTCACAGCCTGGGCTTACTGACATTTGGGTTTGTGATCCCTAACCTAGGAATAATTCATGTCAAGAAATTAGATGTAATATTTCTTTCATTATAAGAAAGAAATCTAAGCCGGGCACATTGAAGTATGTGAGTATATGTCAGTAGCACCTAATTCTTCACCAGTGTTAAATAGGAATAAGTATATGGACATAGCAACTAAATGGTATACATTAGCATTTTTGTCACTGGATTAAATGTTTTTTTTTTGTGGTTTGACTAAGTGTAAGATTTCTGGAATTATTATTAGTTTTTAGCAGTTATTTTTAGCTATTTGAGACTGTTCTCTTTTTTTAAAAGACTTAATTACATTGCTTAGATAAAAAACAGCTTGATCTTTTGGGGGTTTCTTCTGTCAGAATTTTGACAGATGGCTAGAAGCCAAATATTTTAGGCTGTCTCATAGGATCACATGGCACCATTGCTTAACACACCCTTTATGCTTATAATTCCAAGTGTTATGATCTTCAGGAGTATGCACAGGATTTAAAATGTAATGCTAAGGGAAAATCTGTGCTTACCTATTACATGTTAATTCTGCAGAATTTGTTAGGTTATTAAGATATATTAATAATGAGTGTCAATATTTGATATTTGTTGTTGCTGAAGTTTTGTAGCTATTTTTTCTAAGTAAGTGTGGCTTTAGGTGTATTTAGGCCATAGCACAGCTTTGTAAATGTTTCAGTGTAGTAAAGTGCCACAACAGTGTTTGAATCCTATCAATCAATCCTGAGCACTTTTAAACTAAAGCAAAAACTGAATTAAAGTTTAAAAAGTTTTGTGATAATATCTGTGGAAATATTGACACTGAAATTTTATTAGTGCTATTAAGTTGCATTGGCAATAGAAATCCCCAAATACATTTTAAATGTAAAACAAACAATTTCCAAGATAAAACAGCTATGAAAATAGTGAAGACTCAAAATTCTATTTAGGATTAAGTTTAAAAAGTGAATTCCTTCAAATTTATAATTTAAACAGAGATACTTTACTTTTTTTCTAGTTAAAAGAATATAAAAAAAAACTCTGATGATGGGACAATATAATGGTAGTGTACAATGTTCTAGCAGACCTTTCTAGATTGTCATGCAGATTCATACTTCCAAAATTCATTCTTATGCCATGTTGTCAACATCACTTCTTAAATAAGTTTCAAATGTAATGAATTTTCCAGTTTAAACTTAGAGCACTAGGAATATTTTTTGTTTATTTGTTTGTTTGTTTTTCAGTTTTCTAGGTCCATAGCTGGCTTATATTCTTTCTCAGTTGTAAGACCTACTATCGAATAGTTCTCACAAGGACCTTGCAAATTAAGTGGAGATGATTATCCACAAAGAATAGAGAAACCTGAAAGAAGGAGTGACTATAAGACTTGACCAGGTACTTCTAGTCACAAATGAAATGAGAATGGATTTACTTCTCATTGAATGGAATTTGCTCGTTTTGAATCATTTTTTACACAACTAGCAATTATGAGAGTGAAGCTGTGGACTGGTAATTCACTTTTTGTGGGCACCAAATGTTCTTGTACCAATGTTCATGTTTAACATTTATGCCTTTGTTTAAAGATTTGCATTGGCTTGTTGTGTAATTGAGACTTTTCACAATCTGCTCTTGCCCATCCTGACTTCAAGAGTAGTTTAGAAAGCACTAGAAAAAATAAACAAGCAGGTTTGTTTACCCACAGTGAAATACACGTTTTAGGTCATAATTGTCTTATCAAGTCTAATCAGGGGCTGCATAGTTGATTACATAAAAGTAGAATTTTATCTAATATTGGGTTTAACTGAAAGAGAATGTTTATTTAACTCTGCAATAGAAAAGACAGTATTCCATAGAACTACAATTTTATTCATTTAACTTCCTGGCAATAGTCTGATTTGGTTAAAAGTTTCTACAGCCAGCAAAGTTAAATGTAAGCACTCAGAAGTAAGAGTCAAAAGGAACAATTTGATTTAACTTTCTATGCCCACATCTTATAATGGAACAATCTTCTGGAGGTGTTCATGAGGCTAGGAGGGCAGAATAAACCCCTTTTCTAATATAAATACAGGCAACACTGCCATGTGAATGTAATAAATGGAAATCAGATTGTTCCTAGATAATTAGAACCAAATGGTGGAAAACCCAACCTCTAATCTATTGCCAAACCACTAGAACACAGCAAAAAGCAAACAGCACAGTCAAGTAACGGAAATTTCTCAGTGTATGTAAATGATCGTTTAAAATAAGGACCCAATTTCTAAAACCAGTGAAAAGATTTCCACAATCTCAGTGTGCTGCAGAGGTATGTATTATGGGTATTATCAAAAGATATTTCATTTGCCAGAAAAGAAACCCATGACTAAACCAATTGGTGGTATTTAGGAGACATGTAAGCATTCTGGGTTGGGCTGGTCAGTGGTGAAGAACCATCAGTCTTGGGAGCCCATGTCACATAACATACTGAAAGCTCATGGAGAATACTAGGACAAATTAATTGTATAAAATAAACCCATCTATATCATAATTTCAGTGCACATAATGGGATTCATTATTCATTTCAATTCTTCCCTAAAATATGGACTGCTGATTAATCCTTGAAACAAAGTATGTGAACTTGACTGTTTTGGAGAATTCTATCCTCTGAACTCAAAACAAACAAAACCTACAAGGTCTCCTTTCCAGAGTCATAAGCTCAATGAACAGTCACTTTGCCAGCTTGGGTGGCTTCTGTGAGGTGCTTTGTGTTCTGGCTCTAGATTCTGTAAAACTGATATTCAAATTTCATAAGAAAAAAACTGATGTAAAACATTTTTAGTTCAAAAGAAATTTGATTGTTCCAACATGATGGCAAGAAATTAAACAAGAGATGCTCATATTTTAAGTTTATACTCTAATTATTTACAATTTTCATTGTCTTTTTCAAATTTAACTTCAATTGCTTGAATCATCAACAACTCCTCTAAAGTGGCAACGTTTCATACTGAATAACTGTAGATAAATTTATTTTTTAATTTTAATATCAGAAAGTTGGTAGCTCATTTTAACAGATATGAAATAAATATACTTAAACTCAGTGTTACATTAGTTTATTTCACAGCTACATAATTAAGCTTGTAAATGAAAGGCAAAAGTGTTTGTTCATAATCTGTTTAAAAAATGGGAGCAAATCAACAAATGCCTGTAACAATATTTTCAAAACCATTTGATTTAATCAGTTATGTCAATAATTTACATTTTAAACATTGACACTTAATTGCACATTTAAATTTTAGCAGTTTAAAAATATTCTTGAGGTCATTTTATTTTGAGAATCAAATAATTTCTACTTTCCTTTGTTCACAGGCACATAATTTGTTTCTTTTGTTCACATACATATTTATTTGTGGTGAGAATATTTAAAACACCCTGGCAATTCTCAAGGATTAGTGGTGGTGCCATGTTGTATAGTATTCTTCCTGTCAAACTGAAATTTTTGTTTCTTTTGACTCAAGTCTCACCTTGTTCAGCCTTCCCCACTACACCTCTGTAGGCTGTAACCATCATTCTGTTTTCTCCTTCTGTGTTAGACTTTTTTAGAGTCCACGTATAAGTGACATGATGCAGTATTTGTCTTTCTGTGCCACGTCTATCTTATTTAACATGATTCTGTCTTAGAGAAGATGTGTATGTTCTAGTGTATGAGATTTAATCTTACATGATTAATTTTTTTTATTTTAATCATGTAAGATTAAGATTAAGGTAAAGAAAAAGCACAGAGATATCACTGTGGCAAAAGAATATAAATATACTACAAAGTTAGAATTTGAGTTATTTTTACAATGATTATTTTCTACCCATGAGAATTAAGTGTAAAATGCAGAGAAAATGATTTCTTCTTTTGATTCATCCTATTAACTGTAGTCTTTGAAGCATGCATTCAGATAGATTCAATCTGAGATGAACACAACACCTAAAATAATTATTAAGTGGGCTTATATTTTAAGAGCCAATTCATTTTAATGACTAGCTATTTTAATAGGTTTTTATTTGTTTTGTATAACTGATTCTACCAATGAAAACTTCTGAATAAATGAATATGCTCACATTCTGTCTTTCATTTACATTAACTTTCTTGCTTACCACATATAATAGCTATTTCAGTCAAGTGGTCAAAAAACTGAATGCAATGATCATCACGTCATTCCTTTTACCCCTTACCATTTCTGAAGGTGAGTTGGTAAACCCAAGAGATAATGAGGACCAAGCCTAACCCATCCTCTCATTAGTTACACCAGTTCTATTCCTGAACATTGACAACTTGGAGGACACAGGAAAAAAGGAGGGGGAATCAGTTTTATTAACATGCCTCAAATCCCTCTAATCCTCCCAAATCTTGCCCCTCAACATGGTATCCTCAGGGTTCTTTCTTCAAAAAAAGCAGAAACACAGTGGAAAAGCTCTGCTTCTGTATCCAAAATGATGACGCATCCATTTTATACCTTTGCCAATATAAAAGCATTTGTCATAGATTCTACAAACAACTGTCTTTAAGACTCCTTGAAAAAGTAACTTCCCCTTTATTTTTATACTTCATCTCATAGAATAGTTTATATAAAGTCTCAACAAAAAGGGTACACATTCCATTTGGGGACCAAAAGTTGAAGAAAGTATTGGAGCGAATTTTCTGTCACTTGGGAAGAATGAGGCAAGAGAAAAATTGTAATCCTTGAGAGCAGTAAACAGTGAAGAGAAAAATTAGGAAGGCATAATTATAATAAAGCCAGAACTCAAAGAAGATACCCCGCCACCTCAATGTGCTTCTCATAGTTACACAGGTACCTTCCTGGGAACCTCTGTCTTTTCAGCCACATCAGCCCCACATTACAAAACCTATGACAAGCAATGGAAAGCCCAACTCTCTCAGTGTGAATGATGGAAAGTGTGAGTTTATAACTAAAAAATTTTTTTTTGACCCATCTCCAGGGCATGCCACATTTGAAGCCATAAGTCCAATTTCTTTCTTTCTTTTTAAGAATTTAACCTTTATTTTTATTTATTTATTTTTATGTGGTGCTGAGGATTGAACCCAGTGCCTCACTTATGCTAGGCAAGCACTCTACCACTGAGCTACAACCCCAGCTCCATAAGTCCAGCTTTTTATAGAAGCATTTTTCATAATGATGAGCTGGTGAACTATTTGAGTTTTTAGATGTAAACAAAATTACATATCTACATATGAAAATTTTCAAAATTCTTTCAAAAGTTTACCTAGACCACAATTGTGTTTCAGTTAATAGTATCATTCAATAAGTTATATATTAATTTTAAATATTTAATAATAACAATAAAATATACACATTAACAGAGATTAATTACAGTAGTACGGAGGATTCAAAAGGAAAAAAAAAAGTCCTAAATACATTTTGCCTACAAAAAATATTGTTTTCAATTTCAATTACTTTCAAAATATATCCTTCTGCACAAATCAAATAATAATGATGTCATACATGGTATTGGGAAAAGGATTTCAAAACTGTGGCAAGTCAGAAATAAATAATTTAACTACAAGTACTTGAGTGTTGTCAGCAGAAGCAACCACTTATTTCAGTGTCTGAAATAAAATTGCCTCACTCCCAGTGGGAACGCTTGCCATGTAATATAAGAAACCATGTTTAGTCTCCGTATCAGTCCATTTCCTATAACAAAGTTCCACACTCCAGGAGTAGACAGGCATGGGTCATTAAAACTGACCTCAGTAAATGCTAATCAATAAGAACAAAAGAAAGAATAAACCACAAACAGAAAGATAATCTTAAACCTTAGGACCACATGGGAGGTTGAATTATTTTAGAAAACATAAGGGAAAGAGCAACATGGAAAACAACTCTGGCCTGAACCCCAGAGGCAATTTTAATTTTGAATTATCCTGTTTTATCACACTTCATCGCTATCTGTGTTTAATTTTAAATTATGGAACACAAAGTATTATAATTTGTTGCAGAATTTACAACTCAGAGAATGTTTTATCACCATATAATCTTGTTTTAAGGAAAGCATACACATATTCAATACACTTACTGGAGATGTTGATACTTGAGTTATTCTCAACTGATTTTCCAAATCTTGTACTTTATTTTTAAGTTCCATATTTTCTGTTTCTAAGTCTTGGATCTAAAAAAGCAAATGAGTACTGAATAACTTCCAGAAGTATTTCTTGGTAAATATTGGCTATTACATTGACTACATTAACAAATAACATTTTATTTTATTTACATATGTATTTTTAATATACTCTTTTGTGCACAGGGGAGAAAATTATTTTACAAAATAGGAATCATAGAGGATTCTAGGTCACTGGAAAGATAAATTCAATTTAAAATACATTTTATGTGTGTGCAAATTTTATGTTCCTAATGTGTCATCTTCGTCTTTTCTTGTTGCACTGTGCAATCTATACCCATAATCTTGGAGTATAACCACAAGACAGTGAAACTTGCCTATGATGTTTTGAAGAGTGGAGAAAGGGTGTAATTTAATTACAAAGGAATCTGATCTGCATGGGAAACCACTTACCCAGCATCTGCTGCTTCTGCTGCTCTGATCCCCATGAGAAGCATCAGGAAGTGAAGCAAAGTCACATGAGAACACTAAGTTCTTGTGGGAATTCAATATAAAATAGTTAAAAACTGTGCAGGGGATCAGGAATGAAAAATTATAGGAACACAGTGAAAGCAGTTCCAATCAGTGTGGGGGAAATTTAATGGCAGGCTTTCTAAATTTGTTTGATGATATGCAAGCTTCCCTGTACTTACAGCATACAAATGTGAAACAACAAGCTTAGTTTACTCACTCTTTTCTGTAACCCTGCAATCTGTTTTCTTGTTTCAACATCTTTTCCTCCAGATTCTAGAAATTTCCTGTATGCCAGGTCAAATGCTTGGCCAATTGTTAAAGTTATCTCTTCAGCCTTTACAAACAAACAAACAAACAAACAAACAAAAAATATTTGCATTTTAATCATAATATGCCAAACTGTACTTTAAATTAATAGAACACATTCACATGAGGTACTCTAAGACATTCATAGGAGGTACTTCAAAGGAGCAATAGATAGGGACAGGGATGAGTAAATAAGTGAAGGAGGTCATGCTAATATTAATTCAATGGCTACAAAGACAATTAGGTGTGTGTTGGGGGCAGGCTATTAATGAACCACGAATAAATAGCTATTGAGTTTAGAAGCAAGAATTCCTTCTTTATGTCTTTTTATTTCTTTTATTGTATTTTTTTCCTAGTTGTTTTCTTCCCCTCCCCAAATATTCAGTGCCTATTAAATGAAAACCCAATGCTAAGTGCAATTTCTCTTGTTGCTCTGCTCTCTTTTTTTTTTCCCCCTAGTAAGAAAATGTGGCTAAATGCTGAGCAGGTAACCTGAATGAGGCCACCTGGGTGGAGTCTGTGGAAAAATTGAGGAGCACATTCTTTAAATGAGGCAAGTTCTGTTCAGTTCCACTTAATCGTTGTCTGGTAGAAATGAATAATTCCAATCCAGAATGGTCAGGTCTTAAGTATGCAAGATGAGGTCAGAAACCCGAATTGTAATGGGAGATCTCCCAATTTTAAGTGAAAGCGAACCATTTGTATTTTTGTAAAGCAAGGTGGATTGAACAAAATATATTTGTCATCTGAATTCATCCTGGTAAATAATTTACCATCTATGATCCATCACCTAGAAACTGCCAAAAATATCCACCAGAAAGTCCACCAACTCATTCTCTCTCCATTCATATCTTCACTAATTTTCATGGAGTCTATCATGAAGTCCACATTAAAAAATATATTTATTTACTATGTTAACATTTAAAAAATTAGAATAAAAGTATGGCAAACATATTGAAGAAGACAAGTATAATGTTTTAATGACAGAAAAACCGATAGAAACAGTATTGAAAAGGCTATGCTTCAATTAATCTACTGAATTTCTAATACTTCGTGATACACTATGATTAACCTAATGTAAAAAACATAATTTATTATTAAGCTTGGACTATTTAATTGATAACATAATTTTTGGAGCTCAAAATTTATTTAAGGAGAGCTTTAGCTATGAGAAAATATTTATGGTGCTTAACTGAGCTAACTAAAACATGCAAAATATGTACATAAAATTGTATAGAAGGCCCAGTTGTCTTACAAATATGTAGGAAAAAGACAAGAAAATAAACTATGATAAGTTACATTAAAAATACCAATGAAATGAAAATGCCAGATACCAACTTATGTATGCTTAGTTATTCAAGCCAATGAAAAATATTTAAGGAAAGAAATTAGTTGTGGTACATACTTGGATCATATGTAATATTTAAAAGTAGTGAAAGTGATAATGATAGGTTGTGTGATTCTCAACATATTTTTTTGTTTCTAATGTAAAAAATTGGGGTAACATGTTTTTACTTTACAATAAAAATATTTATATTTCATTGTGATTTATTGTTTCTCCTTTTTAAATCATGGTTTCAGTGTTTCCTTTTAATGAGTCATTGTGTTATCCTCAAATTCTCACTGTGTATACAATAATCCTTTAAATGATAATGTTGATGATACATCATTAACAATAGTCCACTTCATATTGTTTATGTTAGTGACTTTTTTAACAATCATAGTCTCTTTTTATAACAACAAATACTTATGAAGCATGAAACTGTCTGGTAAGTATTCTGTATATATTACCTTTTTTGATTCACATAATGACTCTGACATGGGATTATTATCTCTACAATACGGATCGCAAAACTTCAATTCTCTATGGTTGAATATCTTGCCTAATATTTCAGTGAGTGGAGAAACTTGAGTTCAAATACAGAATGTCTGATTCTCCAACTTGTGTATACAATACACCACCTATGTATACATATACATTTTGGAGGGGGAGGTGTAGGAGGATAAAATTTATATACCAAGAAATGTACACATCATAACTGTACGATCAGATTTTTTTGATAAATGTATATAAGTACCATATAAATTAAGACATGAAATATTGTCCCCTTAGAAAGTCTTCTGTGCCTACTGCTAGTCAAATCCCATCTATTATGGACAGCTACTGCTTTAATTTCCATTACCATGGTCAGTTTTGTCTATTCTAAATATCAATAAAAAATGAATCAAACAGTACTTGTTCTTTTGTGTCTGGCTTCTTTTAATAATGCAATGTGTTTGAGTTTCATACACATTGCATGTTTCAATAATACATCTGTTTTATTACTGATTTAATTTTTCATGTTATGTATAGACTATAACTGGTTTATCCATTTTCCTATTGGAGGACCTTTAATGGTGTTCAAGTACTTAGTTATTATAAATAAAAAGTACAAACATTCGTGTAAAAATCTTTTTGTTGACATGTACTTCCATGTTTCTGGGTAGATACCTAGAAAGTAAAAATTGCTCTATCATAGGATGAGTCTGCCAAATGGTTTTTCAAAGTAATATAACATTTCACATTCCAACCAGGAGTAAGAGATTTCTAGCTGCTCCACATTCTAACCAACATTAGACATTAAGTCTTTTTATCTTGAGTCATTTTACTGGATTAGTGACACTCTATTAAGGTGTTAGTAATGTTTATAGATTAACATAGAATTCTTATTTTTAATAAACTACATTGCATCTTTTTGACATGTTTAATGCTTTTGTGATCATTTCCGAGAAATCACTGTAATCCAAAAACTCACATGTATTCTTCAATATTATGAAAAATGCAAGTTCTATATAAGAATATAAGTTGACCCACCTTAAGTTATTTTTACACAGCATAAGTAGGGGTTAATTCTTTGTAACTTAAAAATATACTTAGCTAGTTGTTCTAGGACTATTTGTCAAAAAGACTACTTTCTTAAATAAATTATCTGTTCATATTTGCATAAAAAAGAATATATGTTTGGATATTTTTGGACTCTACAATATTGCTATTATTTGTCTGCCATTACATTGGTACTACTCTGCTTGATAAAAATTTTTTTAAAGTAAGTTTTGAAATCAGGAACTATATGTCCCCCCCCCCGACTTTGGTGTGTCTTTGAAGATTAATTTTTTATTTTCATGACCATTTGTTTTATCATATTAGAGGTAATTTCAAATTTCTTCTAAAAATACCATTGTGATATGATTGTGAATTTTTCTTTTTCTATTATATTTTTTAAAATGAAACAGAAAATCTAATAGAAAAAGACACGAACATATATTGGTCCTTTAATCATTATGACACCTTTAATAGGATTCTTTAATCATTACTAGCACCATTTTTTTCTTTTAATTCCCTGAGTACATTTGTAAAGCAGCATAGCATTGCAGATAAATTTTAAAAAGTTTTCTTTAACTCTAACCTTCACCTTTGCCCTTGCCACCTTTGTGGATGTAATGCCTAGATACAGGTCATAAGGACTGCATTTATTTATGTGTATATACATGTTCACATACGCTCTAAGAGTATAATGATACTAAATTTTGATTTATAGCAACTTTTTAGTATGGAACTCTGTATTAAATACCCTATTCCTTTATTTCAACTATATTAATTTCGCCAATATCACATAAAATGTGAGTGATATTAACTTAAAACAATAATCTCATAATATAACGTATTGTGTTCACAACTATGTAAAACATAGTTTTTCCCCTATAATATTTTTTAAATGAAAGCTATTTTTAACTTAGAGATGAAGAGCCAAACATTTTAAGAAACATAAATCTGCCTTCAGAAATAACTTATGAATGATGGGACAGTATTTTGAGTTTCTGCCTCAATAATGTTAAAGTTCATGTCTTTATTAGTATGTCACACTGTTTTTCTACATTAGAAAAAGTGTATTTTAGTCAATAAACTTTATATAATAAACCTCAGAATTCAACTAAAATCATATTCAAGTATCTATGACAGAAATTACACACTCCGATGCTTTACTGGTTATTAGAATAAAATGTCTGGTTATATACAGTATCAGATCACAGAAAAAGATCTCAAATCAAAATAAATAACTTAAAAATTTTCTAACTATAATTTAATTTTAATAGTTCATAAAGCAAAGTATGCCAATTGAAATTTAAAAAATAAAAATGGCTTTATGCATAATATCTCATAATTCAAAAAAAGAGATTCTCTAAATAACTACAACAACTTATTATTTGGGAAATATGTCATAGTCCTACAAAACTGTATTTTTAAAATCAAATAATGTTTCCTGACTCATAAATAAAGAACTTAATGATATGAATATATAATAAGAGAATTACACTTAGATAATTTCATGGTTCTTGATTTAAATTATTTTAAAAATTAAAAAGAGAAACAATAAGTAACTTAAGTTTTTAAAATTTATTCATTTTTTATTCTAATTTGTTATATATGACAGCAGAGTGCATTACAATTCATATTACACATATAGAGCACAATTTTTCATATCTCTGGTTTTATATACAGTATATTCACACCATTTGTGTCTTCATACATGTACTCAGGATAATTTTATCCATCTCATTCTACCATCTTCTTTACCCCTATGCTCCCTCCTTATCTCTTTCACCCCTTGGCCCTATTAGATTTTTAACTCAATTAGCAATGTGGAAAGGTCAATATAGGGCAGTAGTCCTATGTATTTCTAATAATTACACAAAATTTGAGTGCCTGGCTGAAAATATCAAATATGTCAGTATTATAGTAATCACATAGAAATGAATATCAGACAATTTAATTAACTTAAATTATTTTTCTGGTTTACAGTTGCTTACTCCTGCCTTTGTGTCAGAATAAGCCAAATTATTTGTTTCTTAAATAAATTTTGCTATTTCATAAACTGAAGAAATGAATATAGCAGTAAAGGAAAATATTTAATAACAATAAGCTTTCAGATCCTTATTATCAACTAGTTATATTAGGTTGGATTACTAAACTAGGAAAACGGTTTTCAT